GTCAAGTTTCTCTATTACGTGCATAGATCGGGAAAAAACCCATCAAATCGACAAGTTCACTATTGAACTCGTCGAGTTGGCCAGAAAACCAACCTCTTAATGCATTAAGTTGAACCCATCTAAACCAGAGACTCCAAAACTCAGATCTCTTCCAAAATGATGTCTGGAAGGGTAAAATTTCCAAATTTACCCTTAAGAACCATCCAGATAGAAGCAAACCCAAGCCCTAGGCTCTTTAGAGAGACTCTTAATCCATTAAGCCCTTGAACTCTCCCAATATAGTCCCAAAACATAAATTTAGAGTCCAAAGGTCGAATAATCGCGTAAAGTTTCCAACTTTTACATCCATGCAAGCTAGAATTACACTCTTGAGCTTAATAAGGACTTATTCGGCGACTTATTGCTTGAATGGGGCTTGGAACTAATAAAGTTTGCATCTTTCAAGCATGAAAAGTCACGAAGGGGTTAGATCTAGCATAATTACCCCTGGAACCTTCAATATCTTAGGTAGCCCAACCAAAATCCCAAAATCATGATAAAACTTCCATTAAAGAGATCTAGATGATAACAAAGCAAGATGTTGACTTTATACCTCAAGGAGACTGTTATTGATGAAGAGTTTCTGGATCTATACTCCTTCTAAGCTAGATGTATCCAACTTCCAATCTCATTTCAAAGAACCATCAAAAAGAATTCTCAAAGCTCTCACACACTCAATCTAGAAGGATAAACGAACTTAAGGTTTCTAGACAAAGGTGGGGTGGTAAGGAGGCCAGCCAAGGGGATTAAGTCCTTTAAATAGGGTGCAACACCCTAAAATTAGGGTTTCATCTTCAGCTGCCAACTGTCGGGTTGGGACTCCCCGACTCATTGAGTTGGTCCTATAAAACCCGCAACCAAAAAAATTCTCAACACAACGAGTTAGAGCTCCCCAACTCGTCGAGCTCCCATAAAATTCCAATGTTTTTTAGGAAAGAATTATATCTGAACCAAGCATTACATACAATCGACTGAAATCGGGGTTTTATCCTTGTCTCTCTTCGAATTCTTCTTTGCCACCACAAACTTCCACTCCCGAATCTTGTTCTTGGGAGAAGGCGAAGAGATCGGATTCAGTTTCTTCATCACTGATTTCTGGACTTTAGTCGCTGATTTGACTAATGGAGTATTCAAGGCTTTCAGATTAGGGCTAGTTAGGGTTTACATTCTCTGGTAGCTTTGACTTGCTGGAATGCTTCGACTTCGACGGTATCAATGGTACTGCTCTTCCGTTCTTGCCGTTCGGTTCCATCAGAAATCGCTGGAATAAGTAAGAGATTAGTTGTAGAGAGATGACGGGGCTTGTGGGGTTCATGAGAGAGAGAGAGAGAGAGAGAGAATGTGGGCCCCTATTTTTATTTTTTATATATAAATACTTATAGGGTAAAAAAATGGAAAATAAATATAATAAGGGCAATTTAGTCTTTTCGGTTTACCAAATGACCAAAATAACAAGAAAACTACCTAAAAATGACCATCAATCCAAAAAAAATCGTAATTTTGACTAAAACCCCAAAAAATTACATACCACAGGAACCATTTTTGTAATTTTATCTATATATTTTTATATTTTATCCCATATCAACCAAAAACAGTTATGGTTTTATGAATATTATATAATAATATATGTTTGTTTATTATTCATCTTTAGATATTAGGAAATATAAATATGTATTTATACATCATGAAACGGAATATGTGTATACACCTAAAAATATATGAATTTGTGTTATTTTATTATTACCTCAAAAATATTATAGAAGTATTGATAGTTTTGGTGATTTTACAAATAAAATCACAAAAGATTTTAATAATGTTAAAATAATATCAAATTCTATAAAAATAAATATTATATTATCACTATAATTGGTTATTATCAATACAAAATGACCATTATAACCCTTTCATTTTAAATTTGATTTTATCTAAATATGATTGTTGAGATTAGAGATTTTAAAAACTATAAGTTCTCAAAGACCACCATACCTCCATCGTTGATTGAGGAATCAATAAAGTCATGAGTTTTTATTATAACCGCTACACTCGAAGGACAGGGGGTGAGAGAAAAAGGTTTGAGATGGGTTTCAATATGCACCGGAGATGCATAGAAGGAAAAGAATCAAACATAAAGTTATTTTAGTAGGGATGTCCTTATCTACCCTTGTCCTATATTTTTGGAACAAAAATTTGGATGTTGTACTCGTTTTTTTCTTACTTCCATCTTTGTCAATACTTAAAATTGTTTTGTTCTGTCTTGAAATACATATCAAATGCTACTATAGGAGGCAAAAAAATAAATAAATAAATAAATAAAGGTATAAAAAATAAAAACAAATAATATCTTTTTTCTTTGATTTGTTAAAATTTGGAAGTTCAATGGCATTTGACCTGGGTTTTTTTTTCTTAGTTCCATCTTTGTGGATGCTTAGACGGTGTTTGACTTAACTTTTTAAAAGCTAAAAGTTCTTTTAGGAAATGATGGAAAGCAAAAGATGTTTGACAAATATATTTTAAAAGCTACTTTTGGATTTGGATACAAGTAAAAATGAACTTTTTGGAAAAATCAGGAAAATCTGAGTTTTTGTGATTTTTTCAAAAAGAATTTTTGTCTCCTGAAAAACTAAGCCAAACACCTCCTTAAAATTGTTTTATTTTTGTCCCATCTTGAATAGCATGCCAAACACTATTTTAGGGGCTCACAAGTACAAAAAAAAGTATATAAATAAAAATAAATAATTTATTTTGCTTTTTATTAAAATTTGGTATCCAGTCACTTGGTTCTTTTTTTTGGTAGGAAAATGACTTATAAGGGTAAGAAAGTTTCATAAATGCTTAAAAAAAAACCATCTAAGTTTTCGTTGTTCAAAAAATACCATCCAAATAATGCTATTGTATAAAAAAACACCAATAAAATATATTGTTTGTTTAAATGTTACCTATGGTAACCGGTTGTTGTAGGTTACTTGATGAGTAGGATTAAAAAATTGGTGATGTGGCTTAAAATTAATGACATAGCATTTATATGTTTTTTTAAAACGAATTAGGGCTTTTGCATAATAAGGGACGAGCGCTACTGGTTTCTCTCTTGCATCGTCTCCTTCGTCAACATCTGTGATGGCTTCATCTTGTTCTGCCAAATCCATAATCTCATCCTCAAGCTCTAACGTTTCAAAGACAAATACGATGGTTGATGATTCATACCCTTGTGGTTATGGGTTCCCATCGCAAATTTGGACTTCAACCACTAAGAAGAATCCTGGGAAAAAATTTAGGGTTTGTCCCAACCGACTGGTAAGTTATCATACCTTTTGTATACATACTTCCTTACTTAATGTCGTTTTCCCTCTTCAGATGGTAATTTTTTTTCTGCATATGAAGGATCCAAACACAGCAAATTGTTCTCTTTGGAAATGGGTTGATGACGATGAAGGAGTAAGAAACACGAATAAGAGAGATGAAACAGAAATAAAAGTAGATTCCATTGAAGTGAGGATATCAATTTTGGAAAAAGATTTCAATGAGCACAAAGGGATAGCAAAGAAGGAATATATTACTTTAAGTAAGGAATTGGCACAAATGAGTAGGAAATTACGATTTCAGAAGTGGTTCATAATCATGATTTTTGTTGTGCTTTTAGTGAAATTAATGTAGTATATATATATATATATATATATATATATATATATATATATATATATATATATATAAATCTTTGCAATGTACTTCTTTTAGTATGTATGGTAAGTTGTAGTTTCACTTTGATTTCCCTTTTAACATTGTTAGAAGAAATATCAATGTACTTGTTGTAGTTTGACTTTGCTTTTAACAATGTTTAGAAGAAATATCATTGTCCTTTTAGTATATAATGGTTGTTTGTATGGATGGTATAACTATCATCAATCCATTATAATGGAGGAGAAATAGCAATGAATTTTTATTCAATGATATAGAAGCTCATGCAGCCCCTCACACATGGCTGCTATAACAGGGGTATTTTGGTCATTAATTTTGAAATAGGGGTAGTTTGGTCATTAATTTCGAAACATGGGTATTTTGGTCATTAATTTTGAAAACATAGGCATCTTGGTCATTAATTTAGAAACAGGGGTAGTTTGGTCATTCTTGTTGCATTTTTGGCGAAACTAAAAACAAGGGTAGTTTAGTCATTCTTGTTGCATTTTTGGCGAAACTAAAAACAAGGGTAGTTTGGTCATTCTTGTTGCATTTTTGGCGAAACTAGTGAAGCTTCCATCTTCTTATGGACAAATTCGAAAATTTGGGAGTGATTTTGGTAACACAAAACCTAATTACAGAGAATGATAAAGTAGTTGTCAAAAAAATATATGATTCAATGGCCAAATATTACCAATGATGTAGTGAAGTAAATGACCAAAATACCATTTCTGCAATAGCATCACACTTTCAATTTGTACGTTATTATTTCTTGCCCACCTCATGCTCAAACAAAGTATTGGTCACATTATGCCCAAACAAAGGATTGGTAAAATAACTATTAAAATCAATATTAGTAATGATGTAGTGAAGTAAATGACCAAAATACCATTTCTGAAATAGCATCACGCTTTCGATTTGTACTTTATTATTTCTTGCCCACCTCATGCTCAAACAAAGTATTGGTCACATTATGCCCAAACAAAGGATTGGTAAAATAACTATTAAAATCACTACTTTTCAAAGCAACAAACAACAATATATGGACATTTTGGTAAAAAAAACCATAAAACAAAATATAAAACAATAGATGTACAAACAATTTAAAGGGCATAACCAGTAAGTGATATTCATTCAAAACATGTGCATCTGGCACTAAATGTTGGTAAGTGTGCACAAGGCACCAAAAGAGGAGCCCTTACAATACTTAATTGTTTTTAGTGTGCACTAAGCACCAAAAGATGTGTCATTTCATAGTTTTTGGCATAATTTAAACAAAAGCAAATATCCTAGATTAAGGTGACTGGATTTTCAATACTTGACCCACTTCCATCTTTTGTAACCACCTTTCTCATTAACTTAAGCTTTGTGATCCTATGAGAAGGACCACCCTTTCTCCTATTACACTTTTTAGCAACAACTTGTACATGTTGAGCAACTACATGTTCAGCTGCTTGCTCCTCATTTGGTTGCTCATCAGCCACCATTTGCTCAACAACTTCCTCAACAACCACTTCTTCTTCAGCCCCAACCTCCTCAGCAACCACTTGTTCTTCAACCCCAACCTCCTCGGCAACAAACTTCTTCTTCAGCCCTAACCTCCTCAGCAGCCACTTCTTCTTCAGCCCCAACCTTCTCAGCAGCCACTTGTTCTTCAACCCCAACTTCCTCAGCAACCACTACTTCTTCAACCCCAACCTCCTCAGCAACCACTTCTTCTTCAGCCCCAACCTCCTCAGGTAGTTGTTCATCTGTAAAGAAAAAAAATTATTAGTGTCAAAATCTTAATAAAGAAAGATTGTAATTAGGAATCAAACCTTGTTTCAGCAATGGACATCGTCTCCTGTTGTGACCTTCTTGATGACAATTATCATATTTTCGAATGCCCCCTTCTTGCTAACAATATGTTTTCCTTCTTTTTCTGTAGGGCATTTCTTTCTGTTCACTTTTGGTCTCCCGGGCATTCTCCTACGCCTTGGTGGCAAGATGATTTGAAGACCTGTTTCCGGCCACATGTCAGCTCCATTAGTTGGTTTCACGTTATATCTATAGCAACTTCCAAACATATTCGTTGTGAACCAAACTGCAACATACGCCTATGCATTCCCATTCAAAAACAAGATTGCAGCAATACCATGTACACATGGTATACCAGTCAACTGCCATGCTCTGCACCCACAGGTTCTTTGGTCCAAGTCAATTGCATAAACCTCATGTAATTGTCTCACTTCATATATCCGCAGACCACTTGGAGTAACATCCCAATACCTATGATGAAATGGTATAAAGTAAGTAATTTCAAATAAAAAAGTTGCATTCCAAGTAAGTATTATACCTCTATTGTTCTTTAAATTTCGCAATCCTCCTTCTAATGGAAGGACATATATCCAAGTTCCATTTTCCCCCTTCCCTTTTTGTTTGTACATCCTCTCCATCACGTACACTCTGACTTCTTCCAACATTGATATAATAGGTTTTTTCCTGGCCTCTACAATTGCTGCATTAAAAGATTCTGATATTCCATTTTCCATAGCATCACAACACCTATCAAGCTCAAAAAATGCCTTGCACCATGTCTTTGGGTCTTTTTCCATTAGGTGATCATAAGCATGTGTGGACATCGCATTGATTTCCCTCATATAAGATCGGAAAGCTGACTCGGTTGTGGACTTTGCAGCTCTCCAGAATAACTTTCTAAACTCAACACCTGTGTATTTCTTCTTAAAGTTAGTATAGATGTGTCTAGCACATTGCCTATGCTCACATGCTGGTGCTCTTTCTTTAACAGCTTCTACCAAACCCTACCAGATGAAAATATTAACATTAAATATAAAATAACATATAAATAAACATATAAAGCACTAAGTTATGTATTTATAAGAACAAACCTTATACTGGTCAGAAATAATGGTAAGACCTCTGCCATCTCCCATCCCAATGTCCTAAAGTAGCAGATCTAAGAACCATTTCCATGTTTCCTTGTTTTCTACTGACACTACAACCCATGCCAACGGGTACACTTGGTTGTTGGAGTCCCTACCAACAGCTGCTAATAGCTCACCTCTACAAATACCCTTCAAAAAACATATCACCCTCCTGCATCCTTCAATCCAACCATATTTCACACCCTTAAGGCAAACATACATTCTTTTAAAGTAAACTGTAGAATCAGGCATAGGATTCACTTCTATTGAGACTGTTGAACCCGGATTAGACCTCAATAACTCCGCTCCATAATCCCATAACTTTTCATAGTGTCCCACCAAGCTACCTGAAATTTCATCTAGTGAAAAACTCTTGGCATTTCTACATTGCCTAACACTTACATGCAAACCAAAAATTTTCTTAACTAATGCAACCATGTTCCTGTAGCTAATGCGGAGCTTTTTCCAAAATGTCATTCGTTAACATTTTACCAATCCACCTGTATGTCACAATAGACCCCAAATTAACTTGTCTGCAACAGTTATGTTTGTCAATTAGCGATTTGATCTGGAATGAATCTTCTCTACTCATTGGAGTAGCCCATAGTCTAAAAGGGCAAGTTGCCTTCCCTTCTTTATTTTTACAACACCTCACTAACAATCTAGTTGAGTCATTTTTTTCGTACCACAATGCATACCCTTTAAAGACAGCATAATTTGTTAACATTTTCTTGAGTTCATATCTGTCAGAGAATCTCATGCCTAATATAGGTACCATTGTGTCCCATTTCTTGTCGGGATCATGAATAGGAAAGTGGTGGACCTCATCATCAACTTCCTCATCTACCCCTCCTTCTGGAATAAGATTTTTCTTGGATAAAAAAGGATCAACAGATTTAGGAATTTCTATAACCTCATCATGAACTTCATGGTCTACCGATATATCATCTGACATCACTGAGTCCACATCATCAGAACATGGATCACTATCACCGTACACTCCATCTTCAGCTATCTCTTCTTCAATCCATTGCATAAGTGGTTCGTGGTCGTGATCAATGTAGATACTGATTATTCTCCCATTTTTATATCCAGCATCAAGAAACCTCACATAATCATCTTCATCTCTCAACTCCCTCAACCCATCTACTATGGCCCGATTTGGAAGACAGTAGTACATATCATGACACATACCCTTCGTCAGATTACAGATGTAGATAATGAAGTCCTTAAACTCCATATTTCGTAAGTCTACCTCTGTGACAGAAGTCTTATCAGGATTGAAGTACATCAAGGGCTTAGGAACAAACACTCCATTATGGAAAACATCTATACTCAATGCACCATCTGTTGAGAACGACATTCTTGTTTTAACGGCTTTTTGTCAACTACAAAAGTCATTGTTAATGATTAGCAAGTCACATAATCATATAAGATAAATAAAGGTTGAACATATGACTAATTAAAACAATAAACTTTCCAAGAATGTTCAACACAGTTCAAAAGTATGAGGACTGATTTAGGGTTTATTACCCCTGATTTAGGGTCTGTTACCCATGAGAATAAGTGATGGTCTGATTTTTATCAATCAACGATGAGTCTAGAAACCTCCATTCTATATCCAACGTTCGATTGATTTAGAGGGGTTGGGGTATCGAAGCCAGTGTTTGAAACACAAAAAGAGACACAAGAAAAGAAAAATCGTTTGCTACAACAGGGAATGTTAAGAGTATAACTTACATGAACATATCCGACTTCAGAATTTCTTGAAGGATATTTGATCGATCGATCCCTAGAAGAATCGCCTTCCCAATCTTCGTGTTGTTGAGAGAGAAGGGTAAAATCCACATATATGTTAAACGATCGTATACTCCATGTCATTTCCTTTTTTCTTTTTATTTTTTTTAAACGGTACACCTGCCGGTTACCATAGGTAACATTTGAACAAACAGTATATTTTATTGGTATTTTTTATACAATAGTGTTATTTGGATGGTATTTTTTGAACAACAAAAACTTAGATGGTCTTTTTTGAACATTTCTGAAACTTTCTTACCCTTATAAGTCATTTTCCCTTTTTTAGTTCCATCTTTGTAGATACTTAAAATTGTTTTATTTTGTCCGGTCTCGAATAGCATACCAAACACTAATTTAAGGGCTAACAAATCCAAAAAAAATGTATAAAAATAAAAATAATTTTGTTTTTTTATTAAAATTTGGAAGTTCAATCACATTTGACTTGGTTTTTTTTTTCTAGTTTCATCTTTATCCATACTTCAAAATTGTTTTATTTTGCCTTAGAATATAATAGAAAAGCATATCAAACGCTACTTTAGGGGCTCCCAAATAGGGATGTTCATTATTTGAACAAAACTGAATTATCCAATTTGATAGTTTGAATTTGATTATATTCGGATTTTTAGATTGATTTTCAACAAGACCAAATTATTATTTTGGATTTCGAATTGATTTTAGTTTATAAAATAAGAATCCAAAAATCCAAAAAAAACGGAATAAAAAATTATTATTTATTTATTTATTATACATATTTATAGTTATTTATTAAATTTGTAATTTATTTTTTCAAAATGGTTGAAAACGTTTCACCTGATAAAAAAACATTAATATGCATTTTTTGTCAAAAGTTTTTTATCTATAAAATATTTAACTATAATATATTTTCTTAATACAACAAAATAACTTGTTTTCGTTTCTTGTGTAAAACTGGGTAATATTATAATCATATGTCGTTTTAAAATGTTTCGGTTTTTGAAAACCGAGTTATAAAAACCGATCCAACCAAATTATAATTGGATCGAATCTGATCAAATTTGAATTTAGTTTTAACTATTTTGATCAATGTTTTGAAAACTTAAATCAATTTGGATTCATTTAATTGGATCGGATTAAACCGATTCATCCAAACGAACACCCCTACTCGCAAATACATAAAGAAAAATATAAAAACAAAACAAAACAAATAATATACAGTCTTTTGCTTGTTTTTATTGAAATTCAGAAGATCATCACATTTGCCTTGGTTTTTTTCCTAGTCCATCCGTTGACATTAGTTGGTTTTTTTCCTAGTTACATCTTTGTTAATACTTAAAATTGTTTTATCCTGTCTCAGGTTGAATATCACAAGTACAAAAATATATATATAAAAATACAAACAAATAATTTTTTTTATTTGTTTTTATTAAAATTTGGAAGTTCAGTCACATTTGACTTGGTTTTTTTTCCTAGTTCCATGTTTGTCGATACTTAAAATTGTTTTATTTTGTCTCGTCTCCAATAGCATACCAAAAGCTACTTAGGGGGCTCACTAGTACAAAAAGAAAAAGTATTCAAAATAATATATATATATATATATATATATATATATATATATATATATATATATATATATATATATATATATAGATATATAGAAAAGTGAATATACCCTTAAGGGTATATAAGCTTAGGTACCCATAATCACTATATTACGTCGTTTTATATCATATATATACATTGTAATTGTTCAATATTCTTATAATTCAACTTCTAACTTGATTTACTTCGAAAATTTTTATGAATTTCACATTTATTGTCATCTTACATAATTTTCACTTTTAACTATAATATATATAACTTAGTAGTGTTTGATAAAAAGATGTGATGTAAGATGAAGATAATGGTGAAATTTTGGAAATGTTAAAAGTAAATCAAATTAGGAATTGAAGTTTAAGAACATTATAAATGAATATATCAAACAAAACATTGTATTATGGTGGGTTTGGGTACCTAAATTTATATATCCTTAAGGGTATATTCACTTTTCCTATATATATATATATATATATATATATATATATATATATATATATATATATATATATATATATATATATATATATATATATATATAGGTTCAGGTTAATTTGAGACCATTTGAATTTTGTGAGACCGTAAGACCAAATCTAAAAATAATTTTAAAATGCAAAATAAATGGAAAAATCCAAAAATTCTTTTTTTAAATATTATTTTCGGAACTTGAATTAACTAAAAAAAATATAAAAAAAAATAAAAAAAAATTCCGTTTTTTTTTTTTTGAAAAATACGTGAAATATTCTAAAAAATAATTTTAAAATGCAAAATAAATGGAAAAATCTAAAAATTCTTTTTTAAATATTATTTTCAGAACTTGAATTAACTAAAAAAAATATTTAAAAAAATTCTATTTTTTTTGAAAAATACGTGAAATGTTTTAAATAGAATATTACACTGTAAATATTCTAAAAATAATTTTAAAATGCAATAAATGGAAAAATCAAAAAATTGTTTTTTTAAATATTATTTCGGAACATGAATTAACTAAAAAAAATAAAAAAAAATAAAAAAATGCATCTCACGGTCTCACAAAATATAGGTGGTCTCAAATGAACCTAACCATATATATATATATATATATATATATATATATATATATATATATATATATATATATATATATATATATATATATATATATATATATATATATATATTATTTGTCAATAATTAAAATTGTTTTATTCCATTCGTCTTGTTCAACGTACCAAACACTAGATCAGGGGCCTCACAAGTATAAAAATAAAAAGAAATAATAGTTTTTTGTTCGTTTTTATCAATAATAAATATTATATATCAAATATCAATCTTACTAGTATAAAAATAACAAAAAAAAAGACTTTTTTTTGTAAATATAAAAACTTTAGTGACAATTTCGGAATGTTATATAAATAAATCCTACTTAATAAATAAATGTTTTTTTGCCACATGTCATCACCTAATTTAATATGATACATATCATTTTTTTAATTTTTTCAATTTCATTTAAATCCACTTGGCAAATTGTGTTTTTTTTTACTTTGTTATTAAATTATAAAAAAATCTAATCTAAAAATATAATATAATAAACAAAATAAGGAAACTTAAATGTCTCTATAAATCGTCACATAATTTGTCCCTTAATGTATTAAATTCAATTTAAATTCAAATCAACTTTCTTAATTGAAAAACATACTTTTCGAACAATCCATTTTGAATTCACGATAATTTACAGAAACCTTGCAAAAAGTGGTTTATTCACACCTAATATTGATATTCTTTTCAAATTCAGTTTTGTAAATTATTAAACATGTAATGCTTAACAAAATATATTATTTTTCTTTTAAAAAAAACCGTGTATTACACGGGTCTCACACCTAGTAAGTATTAAAACCGAAGATCTTGAATAGTTTAGAGAAAAAGGTTCCGAATTTTGACTCACCAACTATGTGAATAAAATTTCAACATATTAAATTGATCCATCCAAATACAAATCAGTCGATTTGGAACCAAGATGGATAACATTGAGAACTTACATTTATCATTCTACTCGTTTATTGGTAAGTTAAACGAAATACGATATTTCAATTTACGCAATAGCCCCTAACCAATATACATAACATCAAGCACCATCAAGTACAAGTAAATACTGTAAATACAACTTTTTTAAAACCTCAAAAACCAACAAATCTGGTGGCATATGACAAAATTAACTTCCATAAAAACTAAAAAGGACCTCAAAAATAGATTTTCAAGGCTATTATTCAACCAATTACAGCCCTATACTTGACATTAAAAACTGGATTATCAACTTATACACATCTAGTCTAAATGGATTAAGCCTTAAAACCCTAAGGAATAGACAATGTAACTAGATTCATTAAGACATTACAACAGGTTTTCACTTAATCTCATATGTGTCTGTATATAACATAACATAACATAACATAACCCATTTCCCTTATGGCAAAATACCCCATAAAGAATCCAAGAAACAGATAGATTCTTTAACCCACACTGTTTTATCAAGGACATGTTTTCAAGTAACAAAGTGACTAGTATCATTATCATCATTCAAATTCAAAAGGAAAGATTCATTGATCAAAGATGTTAAGGCACACAATTTTAAAGTCTCCCAAACATGGAAATATAATATGGGCCTTGTAAAGAAACTTAATCTTCCTACAAACTTTGGGCGAATTTGAAAAGTACCTATCTCCAAAAGCAAACGATGAGATGTACATGATATGATCAACAAGAGAACACCAAGTAAATTGTTGTCAGGAGGCCAAACCAAAGAAACCCTATTCATAAACCCCTGTACTAACAACTATCTAGAAGAAAATGCCCAAAGCAAAAGCTTTCCTTTGACCAACAAACCCCAAGATCAATCAATGATCGGTAAATTCAGCGTACCTTTTGTTTTTGTTTTTTGTTTTAACAGAACTCATCTTCATCTCCATGAGCATATCATCAGATCTTTCTGGGTACTTCTTTTGTTATGCAGAAGAA